CGCCCCCAGGCCCGCCCCGGGACGGCCGCGCCGGGCCGTGAGGGGCCGGGCTTCCGCACCTGCCCCGCTGCGAGCCCGGGCCGGGCTGCGGGGGTGGGGAGGAGGTTCGTGGGTCCCACCTCCGGCAGAGGTTGGGTGGTCTCCTCTCTGTGGAAGGTGGTGCCCACCCTGAGGGCCGCGACGAGGAGGTGCGTCCTCCCCCGGCTCACAAGGGTGGCCTTGTCCCCACAGGCCGTCCGGCCCACACGGTGTCCTTCACAAAGGGCATCCTCCCCAGCAAACGGCGCCCACCGCCGAAGGGCACTCACCTCCCCAAGGGGCGTCCCTCCTCACCTAAGGTATCTCCCAATCCAAAACAAGCCCTTCTCTTCAAAACGAGTCCTTCCCCAAGGGCATCCTCTTCCCCAAAGTGCCTTCTCCTCACGTGTCCTTCTTCCCAAAGGGCTTCCTCTCCTGCAAATGGCACCCAGCACCAAAGGGCAGCCTTCTCACAGAAAGGCATCCCCGTGCCAAGAGAGAACCTTCACTCCAAAGGATGTCCTCCTCCCCAAAAGGCATCTCCTCCCTCAAAGTCCACCTGCCTCCCCACCAGGCACCCTTCCCCCCAAAGGGCAGCCTCCTTCCTGGAGCCCTGCACCGCTACCCAAACCCAGGCCTCCACACTTGAAAAAATTCCCCTACGGAGAGGGTTTGGTCCCCTGTCTAATTTCAGATGACTGCCTTGGAGCTGTGGGGCACAAGGCCTCTTGTCCACCGTGGGTTTAGCAGCAGGGAGAAACTCATAGTTTCCTCAGCAGCCACATGTTGCAGCTGGAAAACCCCCAGCGCCCATCCTGCATAAGATGTGGACCCTGAAAACCTGCATCTGCTTTGAGACCCTTGGTACACAACAGCAGCCAGCAAAAAGTGCAGAAAGTTCCCCTTGAAGATGTAAGCTTAAGTGACGTGCAAGATCTTGCAGGTCCAGCAAAAGACTGTTTACAGGGAATGGGTGTTGTTGAAAGGTAGAGATGGCTCCACTGAACCGTGAGCCAAAGCGCAGCCCAGCACACAGCTGAGTGTGCGGGGAAGTGGTGCTTGTTTCACTGCCTCTTCAGATTCAAAATGTAGATGCTTTCACATCCTCAAAGATACTTATGCAATCAAGGAGTCTGGAAGACTTACTAATGAATAAAAATACCCTCACTAAAAAAGAAAAAAGAAAAAAAAGTTATAAACAAAAGAACCCTTTCAGGGTAAAAAAATATCACTATCTTAACTATGGATACAAATTTAACATCATTTTGTTAAACTGGTGTAAATCTCCATGTAGATAATCTTACTACTGATGTCAACATTTCAGCTTTAACTCACTTAACTCACTTATGAGCTAAACTAGGTTTAAACTAGAAATGTCCTCACTTTGTTATGTATCTATTTAAATCAGGATTTGAGAATTACATCAGTAAATTTTAACTGTTTTAAAAGAGGCATTATTTTAACACCATCACTTTGCTTTTTTTGCTACCTGCTTTCAGAAAGGGATTAAGTTGGCATTTTTTTGCTGAAAAAGCTAATAGATGATCTTACTCAGGCTGACAAAGAGTTAAAAACCCACTGCACTTGTTTTGCAACAGTCTTTTAAGGATCCTGAAGCACTGACTTGGTAGGAAAAGCAGAATTTCCTCCATGTTACAGAAAAGAAAATAAATGCTGTTTCATTTTACTTAAACTGCATTGGCAATACATTTGTTATGGGAAAAAAAGCACTAGGGTTGTTTGGTTGTTTGTTTTTTTTTTTCTTCCAAAGGCAGCTACATTTTGCTGAACTTCCCATGCAAGTGCCAGACAGCCATCTCCTCAGTGCTGTTAAGAAGAAGGCATCATCCTCCCTTCTTTCTTTATCAATGAGATTTTGGGGGGCTACACACTTTCTGAAAGAAACCAAAAGTCCCCGGTGACCTTAAGAAGATGTCTGTATTACTGTTCCTCATGTTTTGTATGCAGGAGCAGAAAAGGTCTATGGTGTCTTCATCTTGTCCTCGTGACATTGGCTGGGTCATCCTGGCTCTTTGCGTTTGTATTTTCTGTGGTACTTTGGAACTAAATTTTCAGTTTCAATTTGTAGCCACTGCAGGCTGTCACTGTGCTAAACCATCCTGGTTTCTCTTTACTTGCCTTGGAGTAAAAAATATATTATTGCAAGTAGAGGTGTATTTTAAATAATGGAGAAGTAAAATATCTCTGAGACGAGGCAGAGCTGGTTTAAGTTTAGTCTAGAGTTCACTTTGATTCTGCTCTTCAACTGCAGTTGATTTTGCCTGCTCGAGCAAGGCAAAAAGTCTGTGTGTCTCCAATATTAATTCTGAGTTAATCACTTCTAAGAAAAAAAACACCTCTCCCTGGCCACAAGCACTGACTTACCTGGGTTTGCCAGTGAAATAGTCATAAATGAGTCCCACTATGTGTGTGAGACACAATGGATATCTGCATTTGGTGAGAGACTTGTTAACTTTACTCCTAGGTAAGCTGTTACCTGCTCTTGAAGACAAAATGTTATCAAATCTGTTATAAGACCTCCCTAAAATGTGTTTTATCAGTGTTTTACAAAACTCTTCAGATTGAGGGCAAACTCACACAGAGAGAGGTCAAATTGATCAATCAAAAACCTCCAGAAAATGAATAACAGCTCTGCTGCATTTTAGAGTTGAATCACCTCAGTAAAGGATCCAGCACTCACCAGAGCTTGCTCAGGGATTGGCACAGGCAGCAGCAATTACCTAGGGAAGAAGAGAGATTTTCCTTTGGTGACAACAAATATGAAGATTAGCTGACCACGTGTTGAATGCTTATATGCAGAATTTAGTAAAGAATGACAAGCATTTATTTATAACCCATCCAAATCCTGTCCACTTTGACCTGTCACTGCCTGTACAAGTAGAAGAGTTGTGTGACTGTGGTGAAGTGATGTGAGGAAATGATCAGGCTGAAAATAATCTCCTGAGCAAAAAACCCAGGAGAGGTTGTTTATTCAGGCAGGTGAGTTCCCCAGTTTGGGAGACAACACAAAGATCATGCACTTGCAGTGTTACAGAAAAAGCTAATTTTAGTGAAAAGTGAATTGAAAAAAAGTAGCCTTGTGCACAAAAGCTATCCACTTACTTCAGCTGTATTTGTCTAATAAAAAAAAATAATAATTGTATCTCCTTACAAGCCCTGCTGCATTTTATCAGTGTATCATCACCTCTACTGCTGATGAAGCTGTTAGCACTGTATAAAGGTGCTAATTTTAAAAAATAGTTAACCTAAGCATAATTGAGGACTGCCTTTTCCTGTTTCAGAAAGGTGCAAGAATATGAGCATTTTTATAGCCCTGTGTAGGCTCTGAAATAAACTCCTGAGACAATTGTGTCTGCAGCTGGCTCCATGCAAGAACAATGTCTTAATTAGGTGCCTTTAAAAAGTGAAGAGCTGTAGTCAAAGACTGATTTTTCAGAGCACTAATCCATACATAATAATTACCTCACTATAAAATTTGACCATTTTTTACTGCTGGGTACTTAAGCCAGTTTAGCACTATATGCTTTTATGCATGATTGAACTCATCTTGTTTACTTCACAGTGGAACTGCAAAGCTTTGCTTCTGCGGGTTTTCAGGAGGGAGGCTAATATGTATCCATTTGTTGCACCTATGAACTTGAGGGTTTTTAAGGGAAGACAGTTGCTATATGGAACAATCCAAACAGTTGATAGCAATTATGGGAACTGATTTTGTGAACAGAATGAGCAGGATAATTTCTCCATATACAGCTCAATGTACAGCACTTCACCTGGAAGGTCTAAATTCACAACTGAAACTTATAGCTGTCTGTTTTTCAGAAAGTTGCTTTCTGTATATTTTTTTGTAAGATAAGTTTATGATTTATCTCTATGCAGGAATCAGTAATAAAACAGAGAAGAGGAATTCTAAATGTTCTTATGTTTTAGAAACATCCAGTGCATTTCCTCAAATAATTTCAGTGTTATTTTATGATTTTCTTTATTGTCTCTAGTTGTCAAAAAGGCAGCTTTCTAAAGTGCTACCACTTCTCAAAGCCTAAATATAATAATGACAACACTAGTAAATGATATTAAGGTGGGATTTCAGCACAATCTGAGCTAGTGTTTTAATGATCTAATGGGTTCTCTGACCGAGAGCATAATTCTTCCCAGTTATGCTGACACACTAATTTGAGGTGCAGCACTGTGAAATGAACTGGGAAGATTACACAGTTGAATTAAAAAATAGGGGGGAAAAAAAAAAAAAAAAGATAGGAAGAAATGGGAATTCACTGAAGTGGGTGTTAGCATGACTCCAAACCAGTTGTGTTGGTCCACATGGAAGACTACCATACTGAAGTACAGGGCTAAGAATAGGTGAAGCTAAGGGGAAAGAAACCCTGTTCACTGCAATTGCTGTTTAAGCACCCAAATTGTGGAAGGATGTTGGTGGAGACTGTTTTTTTTCCTACAGCACACTGCAAGGTCAGAAATCATAGTGGAACCTGATCCCATAAGTCAAATATAAATATCACCTTTCAGTTAGTTTGCCTGGCTTTTGTCCACTGCTGACTTATTTTTTCTGCCAACTTTTTCTGAAAGATGATACACAGAATACTTGACTGCAGAGCCTGCATGTATGTGTATGTGTGCATAAATATAAACTATTTGTTCCTGGAAAAACATGTCTTAATATAGTGGTGTTGAGTTTGCACTACTGTTTAGAAAGTTAGGAAATTAGGATGAAGGCTTCTTGGAAATTATTACTTTGGTTATTGCAATGACTGTTACAATAAAAATGCTAATTTCATGTTGATAAAGACGCTGTTAAAATATCCAGCTCATATTCCAAATATGACAGAATAACAGAAAACACTGCTGTAATTAAAAACAACATGAAAATCCCGATATCTTCAAGACTGCTGGGAGCTCAGTAAGTTTTAATAAAGAGAAACTTGCCTTTAAAACCTTTTTTTTCTTTCAAGTATTTAAATCTGTAGGATATTATAGAATCAAGGAATCAAGGAGGTGTCAGCTGCATGATTTGGCCCAGGTTGGTGTACCTACACCCAGGAAGAGATGATGGAATTACCGAGAGTGCAGAAGCATCTCCTGAGAGCACATCCAGCTGGTACTGGAAGACATGAGCTTGTACCAAGTGGACAGTCACCTCCAGCTGTGTGATACAATAAAATAAGGTGAAGAAGATAATAAAATTAAAGTGAACTTCTCGGTGTTGTCTTCATTGAAGGTAAACATTATTTTTTAAGAACTGTCACATATAATATACAAGAAGCTTTCCTGTCTGAGTGTTGGTACATATGAGTCTTTTAATCTTCAAAGTGTAAAGGATTTTACAAACATTTTACAAACATTAATTCTCTACACAACCCCATAGAGAAACACGATTATTTTCACTGTTAGGAACTGGGAAGGAAAAAAACAACAACAAACAACAAACAAAAACTACAGTGGAAATAAACCAGTAAAAAGTCTACAAGAAAATCCATTATATTTAGGCTTTCCAGTCATCTTCCAAATAGGTAAACTGTGCAAATGATAAGTCATTTCCCTTTCCTGGTGTTTGTTTGCAGTTTGATGTTCTGCTTTAGCTGGTGTAATTGAAAGCTGCCATTGCAAAGAAAAGTCCTACTCTACTTCTTCCCTCCTACCTCTTCCACCAGGACCAACAGGTGCTTTTGTGATATCAAAACCAGAGACTGAGCAGTCACTGGTGTGCAAGGTGACCAGACAAAAAACCCTAACATGTTCTCCCCCAAAATAAATATTTTTCCATTGCATCAGCTCACTGCATCTGTGTCTAAACACCTGCTGGGTCTGAGGCAAGGTAGGAGAGAAGAAAGCAAGAGCTAAGAATGGGAGCGACATCTCTTTTGCTACAGTCACACAGAATTTGTTTCAGTGCAGCACTGTCCATAATAGGACTAATTAGTTCTTGATCTAACCCACTTTTTTCCAAGCTTCAGGCATATTTTTTAATTATAATGTGCAAGTCAGCAGTTGGCTTAAAGCATTGGTTTGCACACGAGTCTGCCTATTCCAGACAAAAAAGATAATATGTTCAATTTTGTTCTGAGCTGAGGTTTATGTGCCGACTTAGGAGGGGTGCTCTGCTGCCCATTGCAAACCCAGATTAGTTTTTTGTGCCATGGATTTGAGCATTGCCTCAATCACCATGATGCAAAGTTTGATGAGCACAGGTCATCTGTGCACATACCTCTGGACTTCAGGGAGCTTGAATAATCCAGGCCTTGCCTCAGTGAGCTCTTTCAGAAACTGATGACAAAGACATGTTCAACATAGCAAGGGGTGTTGTGGCCTGTGCAGCACTTTTATTTGTCAGGTGGCAAGTTATTTCCAGTGCAGAGCAGACCATTACTGCTTGGTAGGAGCTAGTGAACTAAGGGCACCAGTAAGTCCTTCCTGTGCTTTATCAACTGCTAAACTGAGACTAAGCGAAGTAAGCTCCCATTTAAATACCAGTGCTTCTCTGTTGCTATGTATTGCTTCCTGCAGACCAGAAGAAATCTTCCAGTACTATATCAGGTATCTTCCTATTTGCAAAATAATTAAAAAAAAAAAAAAATAAAAAATATTTGCAATTATAAGTGCTTAGATTACATCCTTCTATTATTACTACCTATAACTCTGCTGAAGTCCTGACTAGTTTTAAAATGGGGCAGCATAGGATTAATATACATAACGTACCTGTGTGGTGTGACCTCAATGCCAAAGATCAGTTAAACTCTGTGTGTACCAAGGAACTTGAGACATATGACAAATATTCATTATTCTTTTCCACCCTGAATTTTGAAAACAAACACTGGATGTTTTTCTTTCTTTTTTTTTCTTTCTTTTTTTTTTTTTTTCTTTCTTCTTTTATTTCTTCACTTGTTATTCCAAGCTGCCTCATGGATAATACAATTGATGCATTTTGAAGTGTGTCAAGAGCTTGACAGTTTGTAGCACTTTTCCTGAAATGCTGCCAACCCTAAAAAACTTCACTTTTTGATCTAACCCAGAGGTTGACAGGAAAAGAATGTGATGTCTTCTCCCAAAAAAAATTATGTAATTTCCTTCCTGTTTATCAACAACTTCATTCTTGAAGCATTTTGTCTTTTTGCTTTTCCTTTGATACTAGGGCCACCTAAAAATTGAGTCTGTCTTGGACTCTTTCACCTTGTTTTACATATGAAATTAAAGTTTTTTTATCTGAGGTTGTACCTCAAGTCATTTGAGACACAGATGCAGTCAGACTTCAAATTGCTGCTCTTCGCAGACCAGAAGAAATCTTCCAGTACTATATCAGGTATCTTCCTATTTGCAAAATAATTAAAAAAAAAAAAAAAAAATATTTGCAATTATAAGTGCTTAGATTACATCCTTCTATTATTACTACCTATAACTCTGCTGAAGTCCTGACTAGTTTTAAAATGGGGCAGCATAGGATTAATATACATAACGTACCTGTGTGGTGTGACCTCAATGCCAAAGATCAGTTAAACTCTGTGTGTACCAAGGAACTTGAGACATATGACAAATATTCATTATTCTTTTCCACCCTGAATTTTGAAAACAAACACTGGATGTTTTTCTTTCTTTTTTTTTCTTTCTTTTTTTTTTTTTTTCTTTCTTCTTTTATTTCTTCACTTGTTATTCCAAGCTGCCTCATGGATAATACAATTGATGCATTTTGAAGTGTGTCAAGAGCTTGACAGTTTGTAGCACTTTTCCTGAAATGCTGCCAACCCTAAAAAACTTCACTTTTTGATCTAACCCAGAGGTTGACAGGAAAAGAATGTGATGTCTTCTCCCAAAAAAAATTATGTAATTTCCTTCCTGTTTATCAACAACTTCATTCTTGAAGCATTTTGTCTTTTTGCTTTTCCTTTGATACTAGGGCCACCTAAAAATTGAGTCTGTCTTGGACTCTTTCACCTTGTTTTACATATGAAATTAAAGTTTTTTTATCTGAGGTTGTACCTCAAGTCATTTGAGACACAGATGCAGTCAGACTTCAAATTGCTGCTCTTCGTGCAATTTGGTTGTCTCCACTTAAAGGAGATAAAGAACTTTATCATCAGCTCTGCCATTCACTCCATGTATCCAGGCAATTATGCAATGCTGGACGCATCATTGCTGGCTATTAATGCACTTGGGGCGGTGACACCAGAAATGTGTGTAACCTGATACCAAATGGTTGCTGGCAGAGCAGCAAATGGGCACATACTGGCCAGGTCAGAATTCAGATTAGAAATCAGAATGCAGCTCCTACCCTGGAAGTAGATGAATTAACCGAAAGAAGGGGGAAAATTGGGAGTGCCTTTAGGGTGGAGCAGAGTGAAGGATTACAGGAATTGGATTACTACATTTGCCACAGCCCACACTAAATTCAGTGACCCAGAGGCACATCTCCAGTCCTACTGTTTTGCAATAAGTAGGCATGTGTGCAAAACATATTAAGGAGGCTAACTTAGGTTGCTGTTTTGAACTTCTCTTTGAAGGAGGCTCTTTCTTTCTGTTCCCACTGTTTCCCACAGTGGGAGCCTAAAGAAATTGCAGTAACATGCTACCAGGTTTAAAATGACCTATTTTCTGAATGATGCTAAACTAAGAAAATAATATCACCAAGCTGTTCATTTCTGTTACTCAATAACTGATAATTTCTTTAAGTAGACCAAAGCTTCACTTCAGAGAAAATTCTAACTGAATTAGTGTTGTCTTTATAGAATAAATTGAGTATCAGAAGCTGCTGCTTCTGTTTTAATCTATAAAGCCATTGACTTAGTTGTCTTGAGTCTATCTCATCTTTAAACATGAGACTTTAATCTATGAATACATTTGAGAAACTTGCAGTGAATAATTCTGTGCATATTCATTCATTTTTCTTTGGAAAAAAGGAAATGTTCCCAACATTTCCCGCTGCAATTTTCTAAAATACTGTTAATAGAACTGCTACATCCAAGGTGCTTAAAAGGAATTTACATATATTTTGAGGTACCTTAAAACATGCCAATGCTCTGAGGTTGTGCCACAAGGATCTGGAACATCAGCACACAAATACACAAGATTTTAGGCATCATCTGCATGAATAGGGAAGTTTTGATTCGTTTTAAATGCAAAATGTCAAAATTGAGTCGTCCTGTGATGCAAAGAGTTCCTACAACTGCATTGTATGGTGTGAAATAGCTAACAGGAGTGTTTTGTTGTGCCTGAAGTTGTCAGAAACACAACATATAGCACACAGGCACGAAAAGCCTTTTTGTTAAAATCAACAGTGTTAATTTGTCAGAGCAAGAAAGGAAAGCAGAGGAGGCTCCAGGGCTCCAAATTTGAGCCTCAGCTCCAGCTCATGTCAAGTGCAAACCAGTTTATGCAGGTGAAAGTGGTACCATGTCAAAAGCAGGGGGATGTCCACAAATCCTCACGTATCTGTACTGCAGCAAATATGTACGTCTTAATCACCACAAAACAGATGTACCACCCACAGTGAGTAAGAGCTTCCCTGTCTTTTTGCATTATTTTTTTTTAGAAACAGAAACAATTTTATTAATTTTTTTTTGCATGCAATTTTCTGCCAGCTGTTGGAGTCACATGTCACAGTGTCATCTGAGCATTCAAAATTATAAAGGTACCATCACTATTTTTTTTCTTTCTGTTCTGCTCAGGGTATTTTTTTTCCTGCTTGGTTGGTTAGTTGTGTTTTTTCCAGCTTGCTTGCTCAGCAGCTCAGTTTTTCCCTTCTCATTTCCTCTTTGATTCTCCTCTGCTTGTTCCCTCTTGCAGGCAATTTTTATTTTATTTGAAGCAACATCAGACCTATTACAGAGCCTCAGGGATTGCTTACATTAATCGTAGGATTGCTTCACACCACTTTGGATAAGAAGTTGAGGAGTAGTTTCTCATCATGTCTTTGTTTATACTCATGCATTATCTCTAGCTATTGTCTTGTCTAGCACGTGGATAATCACAGGAGGACAGAGCACAAGGGTTAGGACCTGACTCTTTATTACGTTTTTGTACAGAACAGAAGAGTCCTACAATTCTTATGTACTGTTGCAGTATAAACAATGTATTATTTAATGCATTTTGTTTATTGAATAACTGTCCCAAACAGGGCCAGATAGCAGATGAGACTTATATGCACAGATCAAGATTTATTGCATATGACACTGGAGTCTTAACTCCTTAAAGCAGAAGGCACAAGCACAGTCCAATAGTAGGGAAATTGGGAGGTTGGAACAGAAGCCAAGGTTAAAATGTAAAGGTATCTTAACAATAAAATTTACTACTTATAATTAGATCAAACAAAAAAGGTTAACCATTAAAGTGTTGATAACTTGCTTATTAACAAGGTTTACACTAGTCCTAGAACATAACGATCAATTTCAAATTATTCTATCATCTTAAAACTTAATAATGAAAATTACTTAACATGAAGGTTGCTAATAAAGGCAGTAAAGGAGATAATATCTCTCAGCCTTGCTTGGCCCCAGCTGGGTGTCCAGGTGGATCATAATTCTCAAGAATCAGTCTTTCTGGCAGTTGTCCCTGCTAGAGGAGAGAAGGTCAAACAACCTCCTGGGAAAATATATGGGAAGTCCTGTGATCAAAGATGGGACCAGGTTTTTATAGAATAAAATTGAGTAATGTCATTTAACCATTAGCCATAACTCAAAAATCTCTCATTGGAGAATAAAAAGAAAAAAGTGGCAAAAAACACAAAGGCCTTGTTTTCACTAAGCAAACTCTTTTGTGTATTGGTTAATTCTTACTTTATCTCTGTTTCAGGCCTAGTTGTGGCTGGGCTGAGGTCAGTGTTCTTCAACACCGGAGAGCAGCTGGTGTTATGAAGATCAACTTGGCCTCTGTACCTTTCAAGGTTGTTACCAGCTCAGATTTTGCTAGACTTTTTCCTTTCCCATGAGGATCTTTCCACTCCAGGCCTGGGCCTGTAAAATTGAGACACAAAAGCAGTTGAATCATAGAATGAAACTGAGGCAGGCATATTGAGAGATGGAGCATCCTACCACAATAACATCATGCAAGTTTGCAGATGTAAAAACAGGAAGGAAACATCTGTAAGACTGAACTTGACATTTTCTCCAGCTTTTAGCCTTGCAGACCTGATTATTTTAATAGTGATAATGTTCTTGTGTTCATCCACATTGAGTAGAGACTTTGCATGGTATCACATAGTGGAAACCCCAGTGTGCTCTGGAGTTGTGCACAATGATGCCGTCACAGAAACCTTACGCTTATTTATGCTAACCATGGTTTCTAAGATAGCAATGTTGAGATAGGAGGAGAGAACGAGGCCTGAAGCACCGGGCCACACCTTGGTACATTTTCTTTGCATCTAATCTCCATTTCATGGATCTAATCTTCATTTTGCCTGAGTGTAAACAGCTGCATGAAGCTTCAATAAGCAGCTGAGACCAGCCCATCTGTTCAAGAGACAGGATAAATGTGTCTTCTCACTCTGCCTCACAGTACATGGACACTTTGCATGAGCAATTAAAAATGCAGAACACATTCATGCAATCTCCAAGTAATTAGTCATAGAAACCTGGGAAAAACACTGCAGAGAACACCTTCCAGGCTTGTAGCAAATATCACTTTATCCATGGTTATCCAGAATGATGATGATGTTAGTACAGGAATTCCAAAGCTACAACCAATTTTGATGCACACAACTATATTGGTGGAAAATGTCCCTTTCTGAACACTGAAGCTATTTTATGAAGCATGAGGGGTTTTGTTTTGAGTACCAAGGAAATTAAACCTTGCTTAAATGATATGGAAATAATTTCTGGATTTGCAGTGTATACATCAAAATCCCCATCTGGTTTCCTAGTTACTGAAGCAGTAAGGAATCATTGTTAGCCTCCCCAGATATTGCTGAATAAGCTTACTCAGAGTGCATGAAAACAACTTCCTTTTGTGTTGCTGAAGGTCTGTTGGAAGAGCACTTTCGGATTTTGATGTTATTAGGAATAATTTGCAATAAAACTGACACACCTCAGACTGAGAGAGAAATCCTTTTGTCTCCCCTGACCTCATAAATACTTCTCAGCAGCTGCTCAAGGCAGCATCAACACCTATTAAAGGAGGTACCAACAAAACAGGACTTCACATATAACAAAGGTACTTGCTGTGACAGAGCTCTGTGACATGCAGCCTGAAGTGTTGTCACTGCCTTGGACTCCTTCATCTTGACTAACAGCAGCCATCTCTTTGCCCCATATCCATGGTACAGGGGCTGACCAGATTCAGAAAGAGACTGTGGGAGGTCCTGGAATGGCCCAAAGTCATGGAAAAGACATCAGCCCTCCTTCACTGGTGGCATACTATAGAAAGAGAGTTCTCTCCAGTATGGAGCCAGCAGACACCTGGGCTTCTGACACTGTTCTCTCCACTTTCAGGGCAAGGAGGAGGCTCCTGAAGCACAGCTCTGTGGAGGGATGTGGTTGGGCTTGGTCTGGGTAATTGAGGTTCAGCTGAAATATGATGGTCTGCAGTTGTAAAAACAGAGCAGAAAACCATGGTCAGCACAAATACCTGTTTTTTGGTGTGTGCCCTGTCAGCCTGGATGGATCCATTTTGTGTGTGCTGCTTTGCTTTGTAGTTGGTCTGAGGCCTTGGGGTAGAGGGGATGTTGTAAGGTCTATGCTGTCAAGGTTTTCTGTGTGACAGGGAGTGCTAGCAGCTTTGTGTGTTTGAGAAAGGAAAGGTTAAACCACCATGTGATACAGTTGTAAAAGGTAGGAAGAAACCCCAGCTGGGAGGTTTGTACTGAGATTAACAGCAGCAGCAACTGTGAAACTGCAGCAGTTTTGCAAACAGCGTCCAGATCTCCCCCAGCTCTGGTGTGATATTCCTGCTACAGGGTTGTTCTCCCTCATTCACAGGAAAGGCAAAGTGCAGTCCCTGCTCTCAACTTTGCAAAGGTTCATTTATAGCAGAAGAGGTTGAATACAGCTGTGTAGTTCATTTTACAAAAATAAATGATACTTCTGTCCAAAGAAGTATCAGGCAAGTGTCAAGAGATTGTATCAATTTTTTGCTTGACTACAAAAGGAGTCAGAAGAGTTTACCCTTCTCTTTCCTGATGTCAAGTGCCCATTCACTGCTCTTCATACTTATTCTTGCTTTGCTACTTGTTTCCCTACCTCTCGAGTTCACAACCTCTCTCACTTACATCCTTTCCTCTTGTGGACAATAACCTCCTTGCCAGTGGAAGAGCTGTTGAACACAGACCGAACTCTGCAGCAAAGAGCTTCCAGTGTTGAGTGTGCAATAATATTGAATCCTACTGCAAACTAGAGGTTAACATAGATACCCAAAAATATGGTGTGTACATATGTGTGAAATATTAGAATATTTAAGCAGCCAGGATTTCTTTTACAATTCTGTGATTGCTCCTTACCTAGTCAGAAGGATTTATTGATCCTTAACATGATAATTAAAATCTGATAAACCTAGCACTTGCTTTCATTTTAGGAAGATCATAAAGAAATTTGGTGGCCAGTTGGGCAAATACTGATTGAGCAAGAGCCTTTCTAGAAAAACAAAGATATTGCAAACTAAAGGCTTTTCCCTAACTACTTTTGCAATATATTTAGTGTTCTCCAGGATGACAAATTCAGTGTTTTCACTTCAATTATTTTGCAATACTTGGTTTTGTTCTGAGTCTTGTATTTAAACAAGCATGAAAAAAACAAAACAAAAAAACCATGGAAATGTATTAACTTCATTGGATTAACTTCTTTACTGGTAATCTATAATTTTTCTGGCTGTTATCTTGCAGTTGAAGTTTTGGGGTGGTGGTTAAGTTGCATCTCCTGCTTAGGTAAGTTGCCCACATAGAGATCTCGCTACATCTGTTCAGGGGTAAGCTACCGAGTCAAGGTCTGAGTGGTTTCATGAGGCACACAATGAAGAAAAACAGGAAATTCTCTAAGGGCAGAACAAGAAAGACCAGCAGTATGTTTTTAGACATAACACTTAAAAAAGTTTTACTATTACTATCTTGACAGAATCTGGAGGCTGCAGGCAAACTGATGTGCCCAGATACCTCATTATCTAAAAAGACAAATAACAGTTGGGAGAAGAAAGTGAAAAGGTATAATTTAGGGCTCTGACAAATCTCACTGGTGTTAATGTTGATATCTGAGCTGAGCTGGCAGAAGAGAATGCATACATGTGTCCAGCACACAGAGAGCACAGCCTTGCTGGACCACCTCAGCCTGCCATACCAACTTCAGCTGAGGCTGGAAGGGCAGGGATGAGTTACCCAAGGGAGAAGGTTTGTCATGAGCATCTGGGTGAGTAGCTGTAGCTCCATGTTCATGAACACGAGCCGTGGTGCTCAGGAAATCTAACTGCACCTTAAAATTTGAAACTTTGGGATTAGCTTAAAGCTTCCAGATATATGTGAACCCAAGCATGTTCCCACAGATTTAATGTTTAGCATAACTTCTCCTCAAGAAGGATATACCCTTTCCTAAAGCACTCAGTAAGAATGTTATGCTTTTTTTTTTTTTCTCCCTAAAGTACTGAGTAGCACTAAAATGCTAAAAAGTGATATTGTATTATACTTGATACCTGAATTCCTGAGTTTTCCAGGAAAACTACCTGAATTTGTGTAAAGCATTTGTCACTGTCCCACACAACACCTTGGTCTCTAATTGCAAAGGTATGGGTTGAATGGATGGATGACTGGATGGATAAGGAACTGTTTGGAGGGTCAAACTCAAAGAGTTGCAATTAATGGCTTGATGTTTAAGTGGAGATGTGTGGTGAGTGGTGTTCCTCAAGGGTCAGTACAGGGACAGGTGCTGTTTAACATCTTTGTTGGCAACATGATGAGTGGAACCGAGTGCACCCTCATGAAGTTTGCTGATGACACCAAGCTGTGTGGTGCAGTCAACATGCTGGAGGGAAAGGAGACCATCCAGAGTGACCTTGACAGGCTTGAGAGGTGGGCCCATGCCAATCTCATAAAGTTCAACAAGGCCAAGTGCAATGGCTTTTAGTGGTAGAACAAAGGGAAATGGTCTCAGCTGAAAGAAGGCAGATTTAGATTAGGTATTAGCAAAAAAATTCTTTACTGTGAGGGTGGTGAGACACTGGCACATGTTACCCAGGGAGGTTGTGCATGCACCCTCCCTGGAAGTGTCCAAGGCCAGGTTGGATGGGGCTTTGAGCAACCTGGTCTACTGGAAGGTGTCCCTGCCCATGGCAAGGGGTTGGACTATATGATCTTTAAGGTCCCTTCCAACCCAAACCATTATATGATTCTATGATAAAGTCTTGAGCAGTCCTTGGAAGCACATTGATGTTCATGCGAGCAGAGGATTCCCCATGGTTTGTGGATTCCAGCTATGTTCTCCCTGCCTGACCTGGGCTGTCCTGTCATTCCTTCCTCTGCAAGAAAACATTAAAGCAGAGAGCAGTGCCAAGCACTGTTCAAAAGTCTCAGGCAATGCAGAGTGCAAGAGGTTTAAAAAGCTCTGTGGAGCAAGCTGCTGATGAAAGGGACTAAGCAACAGTTCATCCCATAACTCCCACTTCTTTTGTGTTCTCGGCTTGCAGGAAGGAGCTGTTGTTACACAGCAGCTGGGCTGGACAAAACTTATTAGGTTAACATGAAGTTAACATTTGCAGTGTGTGTGGGTGGAAGCACAAGGGTTTGGAATCACTTATTTGCACTGAGTAAAAGATCTCACTATGAGGACTAATCCTGAAAGCCTTTTATATTCATTTATTTGTTTCTTTTTGTATGCAGAAAAAAAAATAATTCTGAAATAAAATTAATTCTAAGAATTTCTGAATTTATTTCATGCAATCTTGCCAAGGAGTTGTGTTTTTTTTTAATTCAGACTGAATTTCTGCAGGTTTAAATACAAAGAGAAATAAAGCACACAAAGAAGAATCTGGGCTACTTGTAGTAGAACATCTAGCATTCTAGCAGGACATGAAAACATGCACTTAACCTCTTCCCTGAATTGGTATTTCTCTTTCTAGTGACTCCTCCTCTGGCATGAAGGTTAACAGTCAATGTTTGTTTTGGTACAGTGTTGTTTTATTTTATAGGGGAAAATAGTGCTTGTTAGGTAAAAATCTTTCAGTCTTGCTGCTCCTGTGCTTTTTCCTTTCACCAGTACAGAAAGAACATGGAACACCAGTCCACTGAGATTTTACACTTGTATTGCTCAAAAGCAGAAGCAAAAGATGATATGGATGTTGGATAAATGATGCAAACAATTAGGTGTTAAATTTGCACTTGCTGCCCTGCTAATTCACCTCCATCTCATTTTAGGAGGAATCAGGGGGCAGCATAGTTGTGCAGTTTATGTACTTGCAGAGAAGGTCTCAGTGCTGTTTGTTGCTGGTTCTTAGTCTCATGGAGTTGGAGTCAGATCACCAGGTATGACTTTTGCTAACTTCTGGGGTACTAACAACATGTACTAAACCTTGATGCCAGGGTACAACTGGGAAAAGCTGTTTTCAGTTTAAATACATTTACTGGTTTTATTTTTCCAAAACTAAGAATGAACATATATTTTTCCAAAGAATGAGCTTTCAACTGAGACTTTAATGATGAAATCATCTAGTTCTCAGATAAAATGTAATGAAACACAGAAAGAACAATTTGGGGTTTGGAAAACAAGTTGGAGATAAAACCTCAGGGGATTTCTTCCTCCTTTGAAGGGCTGATGCAATTCTCATTCACAATAGTGAGAGCTACACAGAGCTGACAGAGAGATGTGTTTAGCAGAGCACAGATTCCATGGCAGCTTCATATATAGTGAAGTCACCTTATTTGGATGGGTGCAGGAAGTGGGTAGTGGAAGAAGGAAGTCTGGCTAAATCACAGGCTCCACATGTGACTATACACAACTCATATAAGCACCCGAGTTTGCCATCTGTGAAATCAAGCAGTGCTTTAACATTTGTATTCATCAGGGGAGCAACACGAATCAAGTAACTGTGGAGGTGTTCCTGTAGGTGGTCCCAAACAGTGAAAAATGAGAGGGGGTTGTGATATCTTCCAATTACTTGAGAGGCAAAAACTTGTCTAAAGATGTGTCTCAATTTATCAATAGTAGAGTCATCCAGCTGCAGTTCAGCCCTTTACCTACACCTCACAGAGACAATATTTATCATTTAGGGTCAGAATCAAAGGGCCAAGCTGCATATATTCATGGAATCTCCAATACCCATATGTGTTCAATATTGTCCATAGATTTTCCCGAGCTGTTGCCTATTTGTTTTTCAAGTAACATTCAGCTGTTTTCTGGCTGTGCTAACATATAAGATAATGAAATTTACTCATTGATCAATGCTTCACACATATACAGAAATGTAGCTGCACATAAAATTTCTTGGAACTTGACAACTGCCTTCATGCACAACTATGATCATTGTGGTGTAATAATAGTGGCTGGAGAAAGGAACAAGGGGTAAGCTTGAAGTAAGAAATAAAGAATAAAGGTTTATTAGAGTAGCTTTGAGGGTTCAGTAATTAACAGGAAAAAGAAGCAAGTTAACTGCAACCAGAGAGCAAATTTAATAAATATGTCTGTTCCTTTTACAGATAGCTTTGCATTTTTTATTCAAAAGAGAAAAACAGTGATTCATACATCCTGCAAACCCTGAATTTACAGTCAATAGATCTAATTACATTGCATATTACTCCGTAAGTCAAATGACTTTGAAATGGGCAAAGACAGTTAGCTAACCAGCAGCCAGGATTCAGAAAAGGTCTCTGAGCTGAGGCATTCAAACCACAGCTTAATGCCTTGTGACTTCAGGAGGATGATTAACTCCTGATTCACAGTGCTGAGAACAGCAGGACAGCAACCACTTCCTCTTGAATGATACCATTAGGCAGTGCACTGCCTGCAGGCAGAAAGTGTCTCTCTTACCTGCTTTCCCAGAAAGCCTGGAAAGTCTTTCTACTGTCCCTTTCATTGGTCCTGCTCATACTCTTAGATTTAAGAACTTCTTTGTTATGCTTATTATCAGACACTGAACTTCAAACATTGCTGGCAGCTGGTTGTGTGTCCACCCAAGGGAATTTGGTGCCTCTAATTTTGTTTATGAACATCTCTTAGCAAAATGGTCAGATACTTATAATTTTTCTTTTGCCAGTGTATTACTAACAACATGATAAATATCAGGTGGTAGGAAGCTATGAGTTTGTGTGTTTAAATGAGGTATGCATGTTAGTAAAGTACATTCCTACTCTTTTTCAGCAGAGGAGAAACCATCAGATGGTATCTCAGATCCTAGAATTCAGAGGTTATTGTTGACTATAATAAACATGGGTGACCATGTGCCTAACTTGAAGGCATAAATTAAGCTGTCTGTAGGACTAAATAAATTATCAGATACTAACTCATTTTCACACTGTTTGGAATTGGCCTTCTGTGTAGCAGATGTTTCATGGGGAGAGCTAGTTGGAATGGTCCAAAATAAAACACAGGAGGAGAGAGAGACAGCCAGCAGTGAAAACCATGTAGCTCCAGTGCTTCTGTTTGCTTTCGATACTCTTTGTTTAGCTGCACAGATGGACTCTGAGGTGCTTAAAGATGAGTGGGATGAATGCAAGGTTTGTTGCCCTGTGAGACTGTGTTCTATATCCAGGTGTAATGTTTGTGTATAGGCCAATTAAAGAGTTATTTTCTTTTCATTGAACTCAACAAATTACAAATGCAGGACTTTTTCACCCATCTGAGCTATTCCACAGGTCATTCCAGGAGAATTTTTGTGACATTCCCTTCTAATGTCTAAGTACAGTATTAGTTATTCAAGATAAGGAAATAACTGCATGGAGCCATAAACACTTTAACAGCCTGTGTGGGCAGTGCAAAAGTGCCAAACCATGAACAGTAGAGGTGAGCCCTGAAGGTCTAACCATTTCATGGTTATTGATCCTGCCACTAGCGGACCAGTCAGCAAAACACACTCCACACAGTCATACTTCTGCTGAATCAACCTGAAAGCTCGTTTTGATGTTCTGGTGGCCTTTTATTTTTGACAGTTTAGACTGTGAAAGACAAACGGTGCCTGGCAACACCATGGTATTGGAGACTTGGTGGACTGATGCTGCTTGGAGCCTGCTGATACAAGATTAGCCTATCAGTGTTTTGTGAAGACATACGGGTCGATTGAAAGAGTTTCCTCACTTTGAAGCCTCAGGCTGCTGGTTATCTGATAGCAGGAGTCTTAGGGATGTCTTCACATGACCTGCAACTGCAATTCAAAGAGAGGAAGAATAGAGAATTGACACAGAGTGAAAGAAAAAGAGAAGTCCTAATCAGTGGTTTTATTGTCAGGTTTAAAGTGATCTCATTGTTCACTTTTTTTTTTTTTTTCCCTCTTCTTTTTTCTTGTCAGTTTCCATCATGTATTTTTGTCAGTTCTAAATCTTCTCCCTAAGAAGGACAAAGTGCAGCTAAAATCTTATCTTCTGATGTCAGGCAGCTTCCTGACTTTGCATCAGACTCTCATTTCTAAAGATTAACTTACCTTTGACCTTTCTCAGAGGCCCAGTCAGTCCCCTTCTCACTGAATTTTGAAAATTGTTCTCCCCAATTGCCTAATTTATCTTGAGTCCAATGACTAGAAGCTGGTAATTTTTAGTAGTTGCATTTCAAGTCTTACACATTCAAAAGTAAAAAAAAAAAAAATTAAACAAAAGAACAAGCCAAACAAACGGCCCTCCAACATTAAAACACATCACTCTTAAGAAAATTCCCCCCCAATATTATTTACAAAGTAAACACATTTGTTTTGTGTTAATAGTGCAAAGCATATTAACCTGCTGTTCTCAACATGACAGGTTCTGGGGATTCCGAGTTCAATTTAGCACTAAAGGAGTTTTCAGTTCTTGCTAGATTTTTAACTCATTTATCCAGAATAGTATCTATCCTATTGATGAGAGAATCTCACCTAGCATTTGTTGCAGAGGATACCAGATGAGAATTAATAGGGTATCAGGTGAGAACCTCACCCTGCATAGATCATCACTTCCTCTACATTTGAGAATTGCTGAATGGTCAGATCAAAGTAAAAACACAGTGGTTAAACACTAGGATCTTGTGGATCTGTTCCTGCTTCCCCTCCAAATCTTACCCATCATTACTTCAGATTCCCAGCTGTGAGATATGGGAATAATCACTGATTAATTGTGATGTTGTGAAGCTGTGGCTCACAAATTAATTAATTTACAAGTAACACTCTTGGATCCAAAAGTCTTCTGTTTAGGGTGTGAAATTTTTACCTTTTCAGATAAAAACCTTTAAAACAAGCTAGAAAGGACCAGCAGATGGGCACATAAGCCTAGAGGAAATGCTCATCCACAAATCCTGGGTAGTAATTTGTCTGTCAGGTTTTGCAAGAGAAGTGCAGCTTTACTTTCCAGATCCATATATTTTGCATTCCTATATTGTGGCCCAGAGATAAGTGTTCATATTTGCCTGTTCTAAAGATAGATGCACACACACTACAGTAAAGAAAAAGCCGAAATAATGTCTTTCCCCCCCACCCCCACACCTCCCATCAAGTTTGTGTTTATCTGTGCTGAAAGGCAGGGAGAACATGAGTTTCTCTTGCATGGTCTTTCTCACTCAGGTTTGAACTAGACTCTTCTTGCTTTTAGCCATACATCTCACCTCTGTATTTGTTCAATTTTCAGGTTGTATATGTTGGTTTATTATCTGAGAGATCTTGCAGTGCCAAAGAAAAGAGGGGCCTTTGCTAGAATTTGAAAACTGTATCATAATAATCTTTGGGAGATGAATCATATTTTCTGCAGAGTTTGCAAGTGCTTTACTGGGGAGACTGGCTGACTCCGGAGTTAATTTAGAAACTCTTCCAAGATGCTTGGCTGGAAAATAAAACAAATCCTGTGAATTTTGGTGTAAGAAACTTAGCTGAAAGTGTTATCTGGCTTTACAGACTTTTTGCTTCATCTGGCCTGTGTTTATGAGATCAGCCATTACAAAAGAGGAGGTTGAGTCAACTGGCACCACAGGATTAATTTGGTGCAGTGGAGTTTCGGTGCTAGGAAGTGGCTTGAGACTGGCACTCCTTGTCTCGTTCTGCTAAGTTGGTGGTTTTCATATCAAGGCCTGGTTATCACTGGATATCCTGCTCCCAGAGCCAGCTGTAGAACTCCTTTGTCTCTGGTCTCAGCATGTCCCACACTAAACTCCCCTGTTGTCAGGTACTCCTCACAGGAGGGGAAGAAAAATGGTTGGGTAGGTTGCTGAGACATCTCTTTAGTCCATCAGCAAATGTTGTTTAATCCACAAGACAGACAACAGATAAGCTGAGTGCCAAAGTCCATAATTTATCTCTTGGATTGTTTGCGACAAGCACTATACCTTCTGAATGCCACACTCCTGAATATGCTTTGTCAAAAAAAAAAAAAGTTATTATAGTGGGAAAATTAATCCTCAAAACTGACTCTTCATAAATAAAAATATTAATGATATGGCAGGCAGGCTGAGGACCAGACCCCAGCCTCAGGCTTATCTAGCTGAACAGACCATGAGAAACTGCTGCATAAAACAACTTCAGAGTGAGGTGACAAAAGTCATGGATAACACCATCAGGGATGGAAAACTTTTTTTACAGGTGTTTAAGGGTGAATTGTGTGAGAAACAGTCAGACCCCACTGACACCTGGAGGTGAGTACTGGGGACCTCTGAGGAAATGGGATGGCAAGACTTGGGAAATCCCTTCAGCCATGCCTGGCATTGAAGAGATGACTGAACTTAACAGCATCTGAAATACTAAGTTTGGGTACAAGGGTAGCAAAAGTGTAAAAAAGAGGGAAAAATTACTGTCAGTGTAGTTTATTTAGGAGGACACAGGACCAGAAAAAAGGAGACATCAAGTTGGACTGGGAAAGAGCAAGCATGAAAAAACAGGGAGAAAGGAGAATAAAAGGAGCTAATTTTGTATAAGCAAGTGGCTGGTTGATGTCTTTGTCTGGCTAAACCTTGTGCCCCATCCCTGCAATCTACCCATCTCCTCATTAAAATCTGTCCCAATTTTCTGTACATGTGAGATGTTACAGAATTCATAGAATTCACATAATTTTTTGAGTTGGAAGAAACCTTAAAGATCATAGAGTTCCAACTCCCCTACATGGGCAAGGACACCTCCCACTAGAACAGGCTGCTCAGAGCCCCACCCAACCTGCCCTTGAACACCTCCAGGGATGGAGCCCCCACAACACCTCTGGGCAGCCTGTTCCAGTGTCTCACCACCTTTACTCTGAAGAATTTCTGCCTGATCTCTAACCTAAATCTCTCTTCTTTCAGCTTAAAACCATTACCCCTTGTTCTCTCACTGCAAGACCCTTTAAAAAGACCCTCCCCAGCTTTTCTATAGCCCCTTCAGGTACTGGAAGGCCACTATGAGGTCCCCACAGAGCCTTCTCATTTTCAGACTGAACAACCCCAACTCCCTCAGCCTGTCCTCATAAGAGAGGTTCTTCAGCCCTGGGATCACTTTCATGGTTAGATTTCACAACCTGGTGAATAGGACAAGGGGTCTTGTTCCATTCTAAAGAAAATGATGATGTGAAAATGCAGAAAAGGAAGAAGTGAGACCTATAGAGTCAAAGGGCAGCACCTACTGCATGTGGGCTTTGAATTACACCAGGAAGTGCCAGCCCCAGCGTGTCTAGATTGACAACCTTGTTTTCTGGAACTGTGTAGGCACCAACTCCATTTTGAGTTCCTGAAAAAAACGTTTACTGCAATATCAGTCAACTAAAAATTCCACTTTTTATTCTACCTATTCTTCAAATTCCAGCTGTTTTGTCAGGAAGGTCTGAAGTTTCTCATGGTTGGGCCAATTCTGATCCAACAAATAACTTCTGTAAGTCGCTGGGATTTAGGAAATTGTTTGTTCTGCAAAGTAGATCAGCTCTAATGACAATAAGTGAACAACTGGAAGGAGAGCAAAGTATTTTAAAGATTGAAAGGCTCTCAGTCTGAGATGAAATGCTTTTTTAGATAAGTTCAGTGCCCATTTATTTTCTTTTTTCTGTCATATTCAGCTTTGAGTCTGACCTTGAGAGAGCTAAAGAAAAGCACAGAGGAAAACATGAAAGACCACAGATAAACCTTGTAACGACAAGGTTTCTTCTCTCCTAAGCCAGTAGGATAGAAGATAGTGTTTTATGAGACAGTACCTTACCCTTCGGTTTCTTAAAGAAAAAGGCTATTGTTAAAACAAATTACATCAGTAGGTTTATATAACAAGTATTTATTCTCCACAGATTTATTTTACCACAGATCTTAAATATGCCTGTTTCAAGAGAGCTGTGACAAGCTATCATAACATTAGTTGAAGAGACTATTGTATACAGAAGAAATTCTGTTTATCACCACTGGTTCCTAAACGTCAATGATTCCCTAACTTCTGTTCTAGGAGTTTTAGGATTATTCCAGCTTTGTCTTCATGGCTAGAGATGGAGCTAATGTTGCACTACATCCTGCATGCAGTAAGGTAGCACTTTTCAGGGGCTCCCTGTGCCCTTTGGCTCTCTGGAGAAAGAACAGGACCCGTGGATTGTTACTGGCTTGGGAAATTTATTTCTTAGTTTTGAGGAGGTAATGCACTATGACTGAACTCTGCATTGACTCCAGTTCATAATTTTGTCCAGCTTTTGACATATAAAATATGTTTCTACTTCAGCACACTATGTTACACTGCAGCACAGAGGCCAGATTTACCTCACTGTAAATTTAGTTTCAGAGACTTAAGATAGAGCCTATTAAAGACACTCTTAATACACGTCAATGATTCTAGTGCCAGCCTGGGACACAGATGTTCAAAATGCTTCCACTGCCTTTTGACAGATTTTTTTGTTGAAGCTTACAATTAATACACTGTTGATCAAAATGAAGATCATCAGCAACCACTCTCATTTACTCAATTTTATGAAAGTAAGATGGTTCTTATGTGTCAAGTTCATAGATCATGGGACACTGACACATTCCAGTGCAGGGAAGAAATATAAGACACTTTTTCCCTATGTTTTTTTCAGCTGCAGACAAATATTTTTAAACTTTTTCTTCCCCAAACAAGCAACAGATGATGCTTCTAAATAAACTCAATTTGAAAGGAAAGACAGAATTTGAATAAAGAGATTCCAGGTCCCCATAGAGTCTAGGTATCTTGTCAAGAAATTAGGAACTGTGCATAAGTAAATATGAAGGACAATGGCAATTTGTGACATATTTATTTGGTCTGTGCCAGCTATACAGCCAGAATCCCAACCTTTTGCAATCATTCTTACTGCAAACCATTCTTATTCAGGTTTGAAAAGTCATGGCACACAACAAGGAGGTATCAGAAGCTGTAAAATACAAAGCCCTGTTTGATGAACATGTGTTGGATTTTAGCTTTAGCTCAGGCTTTTCTGATAGAGGTAGCTTAACTTAAGCACATTTCTTTAAGCACTGAAATACACAATCTGGTACTTAATGCTTACTTAGATTTCTCATCAACCTAAATGTGAGACCAAACATACTGTCTGCATATTAGTAACAAGTTCATGTTCATTATTAGCTTTAATTTTAATGTGTCTCAGTTTCCAGTTGTCTGACAGGACTAATTACCCAGTTTAATTTAATGTGTTGAATAAATGGAGACTTTGGAGTGACTTTCGTATGTCACAGATATCTAAAATTAGTTAATCCCATCTGTGGTGTGCAGGACTGTTAGAATCACAGCCACTTTGATCATGTCCTGAAGAATTTATAATATCAGATGAAAAATGTGTGGGCACAACAGCTGGGGATAATGCAATGTGCCAATGAAATCAGTGTATTACCTGTACTTCAACTGAGTCAGACACAAAATATTTCATATGAAGAGGTGACCTTTAGTAAAACTCTTGCCACACTTCTGCTGCTTTACAGAAAATAGATAGTAACACTTAATTAGACTTCTAAAGTTCATGGTAAAATATTGAGTGCTCTGCTATATATGTTAGCTTTAGAAACTAGACTTGCAATAATCATTCAGCAAATGCATCTGTTCACCATCAATATTTTTCTATCACATTCTGATTTCTTAATTAGTGGGACTGACTAGTAGAAGAGACAATATATTTGTATTGTTTTCCCTGAGGGCTACTTACCATCCCTTGATGTCCATATCAAACTCTTATTGTTTTTTTTGTGATAGCCATTTCCTATCCAAGGCTGTAATTTAGCTCAGGGAATTTATCAGCTACAAAATAGACATTAGCAGCTCAAACAGGCAGTAACACCGTGTTTTAACGCCTCCCACTGTCATTAGGCCTGATGAGCTATTTCTAAGTCTGTCGCTAAGGGAAATGTCATTAAAATTGCAAGCTTCCAGATGTTTGGAGTTATTCTGTAAGATGACTTCAGAAACCAAAACATTCAACAGAATTCTCAGTGAACCCAAAGACATTTCATATTTTTTTCCACTTGTGAAGAAATCTCACTTCGTCCTTCATCAAAAGAAGATGACCCAGCATTGCCATTCTTCTTAACTGCATCTGGCTTCTGCAGCCTCTGAGCAAAGACAGTTGGACAGGCTGAAGCTAAACTTCTGGGCTTGCAAGTAACTGAAAGTAGAGAGCAATGAACCCAAGGAGACTTCTGGAGAAGTGTTAGTAAGCTGCCTAGACAGTAGAAATGTATAGAAAATAAAGTGCATTCTATACCAAATCATACTGAGAATGGGAATAACTGGAGTTAAAATAATTGGTCTCTGTGAGAGAGCCAACCTTGTTTGCTTCTTGGAGTGATGAATTACAAAGTGCACAAGAAACAGAAAATTCTCTGCAGCTCCAAAAAGCATGTGTGGTTAAAAGAAGGTGAGCATGGTACAGAAACAATTGTGTTAGTGTAACAGACATTTATGATACACAGCAAAGAAAACTTAGGTAGGAAAATATGTGCAGTTCATAACCAAGAGTCCCAGAAAGACTGTTTTCATCTGTTTTTTTATGATCAAGAGCAAGACTATACGGAGAAGATTTTAAAGAAACTTTTGAAAGAAAAAGGAAAGCAGGATATTTTACTATACCTAAGAATTCAGTGCAGTCTAAGAAAATGGAGAGTGTACAAATGATAGTCATTATTGAATAGTTAAATAGTGTGCAATAGCCACATGAGCCAAATTATTCACACTTAGCTGCTCAGTGCCTGCAACTGCATTTAGGAGTCTGGTCAAAAAACCACCAAACTGCTTTCTTTCAGAAATGCTAAGGTATGTTTTTCAAGGGTGTTTCACCTTAAAACTAATGGTGTGAGGATAAAAGAGGTTTTATTATGTTCTTATTCTTGTGTTGATTTTTCTTTTTTCTACTCTGCACATAGAGCAGTGAGATGGAAAGATCTCTGGAGATTACCTAGTTGAAACCCCTGATCAAAGCAGTGTTAGCTAAAGCTGGTTTCCCAGGGCCTTGTCTAGTTTTTTCAATACAACTACCACCTCTGTGGGCAGCCTGTGCCAGTGCTTGACAACACTCACCATGAAATAGTTTTGTTTTATGTTTAAGTGTTATTTCCTGTATTTCAATATGTGCCCACTGCATCTTGTCCTGTTACTAGATGTTGCTGAAAAGAGTTTGGCTCCATCTTTTTTTCTTCTCTCACACCAGGTACTTCTACACATTTACAAGATTCCCCCTGAGATTTATCTTCTTCAAGCTGATCAGGCATAGCTGTATCACCCTACATTCATACGTCAGATTCTCCACACTCTTAGACATCTTCAAGACTCTTTCCTTGAGTCACTCCAGTGTGTTCATGTCTCTTGTACTGGGGAGCTCAGCACTGGACACAGCACTGCAGATGTGTCTGACCTCCTCCGACATCCTGTGAACTCTCTGCCTAATTCAGCCCAGAAAGCAGTTGACTTCTTTTGCTGCAAGGGTCCATTGCTGCCTCATGTTCAACTTGATGTCCACCAGGACCCCGTGGTCTTTCTCTGTGAAGCTGCTTTCCAGCTGTAAACCTCAGCTTGCCCTGGTGGCTGGGACTACTTATCACCAGGGGTAGGACTTGACATTTCCCTTTCTTGGACTTAACAAGGTTCCTCTTAGCCCAATACTCCATCCTCTAAGGTAGCACAATCCTCTGATACCTCCAGTACTCCTCACAGTTTTGTATTACCTGCAGACTTGCTGCAAGTACAGTCTGTCCCATCATCTAAATCCTTAATGAAGTTAGTCAGTGTTGACCTTAGTATGGATCCCTGGCCTCCAGTTAGGCTTTGTGCTGCTGCTCACAACCCATTGAGTCAAGCAGTTCAGTCAATTTTCAATCCACCTCACTATTCACTTGTGTAGTCCTTACTTCATTAGTTTGTCTATGAGGATCTTACAGCAGACACAGTTGAAAGCCTTGCTAAACCCAAGGTAAACAACATCCACTGTTCTCTCCTTGTCCGTTAAGCCAGTCAATTCAGCTGACTGAATTATGTCTTTTTCCTCAGCAAAATACTGAGTGTTTCTAATTGACAGTTAAATGGACTGGGAATTGCTGTCAGATTTGTAAGTTCTCAGTTCCATTCACATTGATCCTACTGTCAGAAGGAAATTTCATTTTGAGAAAGGCTGCTTTGCCTCCCACTGAAAACTGACAGTAAAAATAATGTTGCTCACCTAATTGTAGGTGCCTAAAAATGAGCCTTTAGTCCATGCTAGTCATATATTTTCTCTGTTATATGGAAAGATAGAGCTCAAGACATCTCCAAACAACAGCTTTTCCTGCCCTGATATAAGTGTCTACAGTGAGAGGATGAATTTCCCCTTGGAAGTAGTTGTCTATTTGCATTGACTATCTATGGAGCCCAAATGAAATTACATCTGTTGGTTTTACACAGATGGGTGAAATTATCCCCTCCCTTACATTAAAAATGCTTTTATCATGCCTACATCCCTCATGTTCTACTAATGTAAAACACTGCCATGCTCTACCCATAGCCAAGGCAAGCAGGGAGAAAGGGACAAAGTGTCAGACTGTGGAGACTTGATCCCAGCCACTAGCCTGGACTTCTGATCCTAAAAGGGAACTCTTTTAATCCAAGATTGACAATATGGGGAATAATCCCTCCACTGATACCTCTGGCACTGCCCTGCAGTGCGTGGGAACAAAGTAGCAGAAGCAAAATGTCTCCGCGCAGGGCTGCATAACAGCATCTACAGCAGGGATGCTGCCAGTGGGACTGTAAGCAGCACCCTAATGGTGATGCTTTGTTGACAGAGCCATCAGACAGCCTTCATCATCAGAGATGCTCCCTATATGTTTGGAACCTCATCTGCTTATTTTACTGCTTATTGCTGCTCCTTTCATTCTCTGTTTGCAGTGGTTTTACTAAATTCAGGATCACATAATCATAAACACGATCTTCTGTGCTATTCATAGTGCAGCACAACTGCACCAATAGCAGCATGATTAGCAGCTGAATTCAGCTCAGGCAGAGGAATGATAAGAGCCCTCACTGCAGTTAGATCAATTAATCTGCAAAGAAATGCTATGAAAATGTTCTCACCCTGCGGACTGAGAAGGGAATACATTAGCTCAGAAGAGTCCGTGATTTTTTGTCAATATAACAGTAAGTTCATTATTGAGAGGAACTAAAGAAAGGTTTTACCATTTTAATAAATCCATTTAAACATTACAGTAATGCATAAGGTTGCATCTAGTGTCTGTTATAATGTCAGCATTATAGAAAATTTCTCCATTACAGTAACAGTATGCCAGATCTGGAATATATTATTCTAGAATACCCAAGACTGGAATACATTACTAGATAAAGATGCAGGAAGCTATAATATCTAATGTATTTCTAGTTGCTGATGAAATTTTTCTTCCATATAAAACCTAACAAATCATCTTTCCAATATATCAGACTTTAACTGTCCTACAATAGATAGTTTTCATAAGAGTGTTATGTCATCAGTAGCATACCCAGCACACTCCCCCTTGTAGCAGGAGTGATTTTTGATCCTGATATTACTAGTTGATTGTCTTAATTTTAAGTAACTGTAAGATCATCAATCCCATAGGCTTCTATCAAGATAATTTTTTGTGGTTTCATTGTCCGGAGTGGGCACTTGACTGATAGTTATATTTAAGAGTACATACTCACTTGCCAATAATCCATTTTATGTATTTCATATTTATTCTGAGCCATCCATAGAGACACAATTCTGTCTTTCTGTGACTTCATGTAAATTATTATGTTTACCTTCAGTTTTTACTGTCACTCTTTCATAGAAATCTCTGAGAACTGCTGGGACCACAGTACTTTTTGTAATTTTTTGTCAATATCTTGATATTGATAAATATTGAGTGTCTAATGATCTGAATGCATGATACACTGTCCCAATTCCTGGTAACCATAATAATTTTAAATTATGCAAAACAGTGAGGCTGTCAACAGTGAGGAGAGAGATTGTTATCTGGACTACAATAACCAGGACAAGGAGAGCACTGCCTGGCAGATCCCAAGGTTCTTGTTGCACCAAAGAAGAAAGATGCTGCATTTTATGATCTGTTTGTACACCAAAGACCAATTTGTTTCCTAATAGATGATGTAGCTAGTCATAATATAAACCTATAAAAATGATAAAGTGTGATTTTAGACTGGAGATAATGTGGCCGAGTAAAGGACATATACAACATAAGCAGTCTGAAGCTGTTAGTAAAAGAAACAAAGGAGACAAGCAATGAACATTGTTTCTTGAATTTCATAGAAGTTTAAAAGGAGGAGTACCATCAAGTGCAAAACTCAGCTTCAGCTAAGATCTTTACTCACTAACCTTTCAGTTTAACTAAAATCTTGATGTGAGAAAAGCAGGAGGCAAGTTATGAAGAACTTGGTAAAAAAAATTATAGAATATGGGCTTCAAGGAGGAAATTCAGAGATCAAACAAACGTTAAAACTCCCCAGATTGTCCCAGAGCTGTCTCATATGCTCAGCTCCTTTCTGAAGAAATGACATGTTGCTGTGGGTTGTAGCTGGCATCAGGAAACTGAAGGCATGCACAGCAAGGACAAGCATATCCCAGCCACCCGAATGAAATTGTGAGTCACAGAACTTGCCACTACATTCAAACAGTTCAACACCACATGGGAACATGGGAACATGAGCACAAGATGTCCTGTTCAGTGTACTCACAAAGCAACATGCAAATGTCATTGATAGTAAAGTGACTAATGGCAATGGCAACAGAGAGGAATGAAGAGACAGTATTGACTCATCTCTTGGATTAGAAAACAGAAACTAATTCTGCAATTATCTGCTTCACATGATGGACAGACTATTGCTGCCAAGCAGAGCTGGATCCCCTGTGCACATCAAATACAGAGAGCAAGACCAGCCATACAAATACTGTGGGATGCATAGCACATGAAACAGAAGCAAAGCAGACAACAGCAGAGACAACACCAAAGACAGTTGCTTCTATTTGAAGATAGATTTTCAGTTTTCTCTAATAAACAGCATATTGACCAAGATGTAAAAGATGACCAGGATTTCAGCAAGACTGAGACAGAGGTGTTGGAGAGAAAGAGGCATATAAGTAAGGCTAACTATAATTGAAGGGTTCTGATTCCGAGGACTGAAGAGACTTGCTCAGAATTATCCAGCAACAGCCATGGATCATTTCTACTAACTGCAGGGTCCAATAAGGCATTAGGTAGAGGTATTCTCAGTTTCACCATGAGTTAGCAACTGTATATAAATCACTTACAGTACTGCAGTTTTATTTTGGTTTACGTGTATATTTTTAACATATTCTGAGACCCATTTTTGGAATATGATAGACCCCAAGATTACAATATTTTTTTACTTTCCCAGTAGAGGACTGGGATAGAATAGGTCTCAGTTGCAGAATGAGAAATGATCTTCCTACTTCTTATGAAGTTATAAAAATAACATATAAATTTCCCAAACAAACGCATATTACAGAGTCTGTGAAAGTAACATTTTTTGTGGACAACTGATTACTTCACCAGAGCTGAAGTTTTGATAACTGGGTGAATTATTTTAACAATGACATTAGATTTTATTCGAATGAGTTATCAGTCTCAACATATGAAAATATGAGAAAAACTATATCACCTGTAAGATTCAGAAAATTAGAGAGTGTGTTAAAATAATCTTAAGTGGTCTTAAAATGTTGGATTTTGTGTCATGTCACCTGTTACAGTGGCAGAATAGTAAAATGATAACCAGTATGCAATTACATTTCCTGACATGTCCTTTATGTATATAACGTCACCTACATAAAAGCTATCTTTCTTATTCTTGGCAGTGATATGTTCAGTGCTTATATAAGTGTTTTTTATCTTCATAGTGTTTCCCAAAAATCTTTCTAATGCCGTTGCAATGAAGGTAGATACATGATAGTCCATTATTTGGAAGTGAAGACAAGAAGATTCAGGATTTGAGATTTTGAAGATTCCTTGAAGCTGGTATTTTTGTGAAGAGGATTCATCATGTCATTTACTGTTGACTTTGTCTTTAGAATTAATTTTATGAAGTTAGTGATCCATATGATGGACCAGTGTTTGTTTAGCTGATCTAGCCAAAGCCAAGTGCTTTTGCATATATTTCATCTAATAAGTCTTCAAAAATCAATGCCCATGAAAATCTCTCTTCCAAAACATTGAGTTGGAGTGCTTTCCAAGCTGCTTCTTTTTCATTATTTTTCTGTGGCTCCCAAGAACATGTCACTGGTGTTTCTTGCTATTGACTATATTTGATTTATAGTCTCAGTGAAGCATATTTAACCAGGGAGAACATGCTTCTCATCTCTCTTCCTTAAATCCTCAAGTTACATTTCTTTTCCCCTGACACCTATGA